AATTTGTAACTCAGGTTTTGATCTAGGTTAATCTTTGAGTTAAATATTATAAGTATGAATAATATGCGAAGATTGGGATGATTGAAAAATTTGCAAAACAAGTCTCTCTTGTGGTCTAAGTAACTCTTTGATAATTAAGTTAATGTATGGAGGAGAAAATGGTGACTAAAAAAGGCTAATTAGATTATGCAAGTTCTTAACAATAAATTTTAAGTTGTAGGATAGAAGAAGAGAAAGTATATGATCCTCTAAACTATAAGCTCCGGACTTGTTTATATAAATGCATGTTTTGTCTTCTTGCATAATAACAGGGGTAAAATTGCATGTTTTGTCTTCTTATATAATTAATGCACTATCTATATTTGTGGTTAGTAGAAAGTTGTGCTCTCCGAGTTTATGATTAGCGTAATTATATATATATGTGTGTGTGTGGGTTTTTTTTTTTTTTCCTCCATTTGGGACCTAATCATCTAAAGCTTATCCTGGACAATTAACATCAAAGCAAAAACATTCTCAATCGTTCAATTTTGTAAGTTGTATCCTTCTGCGAAAATGACTCGACATTTCAGGCCCGATCACTATCATTCATAAGAATTTCAAATAACCTTAAAATAATGTGTACAAATTAATTAGTCACAGCCTTTAATTTCTTAATTAAAATCATTGCAATCTACTTCGTGCCTCTTTACAAATGTCCCAACAATCCTTTCTAACATCCGAAAAGATTTGCTAAACAAAAATCAAATGATCCCAGCAGTATTAGTAATTTCGAAGGATGGCCTTTCCAATATTGTTTCTTTTCTATTTTCATCACTGTTATTACCCCGGAAGTGAAGTGTTGCTGGAGGTGGAAAGGCACCGAGACGATGCAGCTAGCAAGGAGGAGCTGGTGGGAAATGTGTGGTTGATGGCATGTGAGACTCGTCTTTTAAAGTTTGAAATAATTGTTCGTCTTGGGGGTCCATGATTAGTGTTCGAGTCTTTTGACTTATGATTCATGGTTGATCTTCACATGCATGGTAGGGTTTCCTTTAACCCGTCACTTGCTAGATACATATTAGTGGAAGAGACACTAGAAAACAGCTTTGTATATATGCAGGATTAGATATAAGATTGAACCTTTCTCCTTAAAAGGAGTGACTTGACTAAGCCTAGCACTAGCACTGCACCTCCCTCCGTCCTTCCCTCTCTCTTTTCCTTCCTGTTTTTGCTTTTATGATGGGAGTGGGAAAAGTTGGAACAAATGTTAAAAGATTATGCTGGTCATATGCTTCTTCAAACGCAAAAGATTTCCATACGGACCATTGAGAGTTTAATCAAGAAAAGACGAATCTCTTTGGTGTCCACCTTGTCTTATCAGCAAATAAGTCATTTTTAGTGGGGATTGATGCTAAACAGTAATTAATTTTAATCCAGAAACTTAAATTTTAAAATGATTTATATTGAATTCTTTTATTTATCTCTTCAAGTATATGTATTTTAAGGTTGACATATATCCAAACTATATTACACTAATTTAATTTTTAATTAGAAAAGAATTGATGTTTTATTTAAACACAAACAACGTATTGCTGATTGACCTCTTGATTAATTCTAAATATAAAATAGAGACCAATTTGAGGTAGCTCCTTCCAAAAAAACAATGATCAATGACCTCTCATTTCTTGGATTTATTCGGTCCTGTTTGAATTGATGCTACGTCAAGATAACGAGATAATAAAAACCGTTAATTTTCAAAAGATTTCAAAACAAAAAACATGTTTTATCTAGGAAAAGTTTCTCTGGAACTCTTGGATCGTCATGTTTCCAACTTGTTTGAAATCTAGAGCTGTATGATTTCTGATCTCTACATTTGTTTAGTATCTCCCAGTCGAGATCGTGCGTCCTTCAATTAAGGTTTTGTTGATTTCTATTTTCTATTTTATTGTTAAACAAGTTTTGACATCTGCTCATCACAATTAATATCAAATCTTTCGATTAATATCAGTCCTTTTTTTTTTCTTTGCCTTCAATATTGCTAGCCTACTAACCTTCATAGAGAACATAACATGAAGAGCACTCTCTCAAAATTTCAATCTGATTTAAGAATTAAATAGAAAAATTATGTTTATTTATATTAGAAAACTATGTACGAATTTCTTTTTAGACGGGTCCCGCGTTAAATACAGGTAGCAACTTCAAGCACAATAGAATAATTAACATTCTTGAAATTCAAAAGAAAATCAATTCAGAATTGGCAAAATATATATTTAATGGAAAAGCGAGGCAAGTCTTTAATTAAATAATGTCCTGGCCCCATGGAAAAGATGAATTCACCATGATAAGCTTTGCATAAAGGACGAATTGGGAGTCAAATATCTTTTTAGTTTGAATTATGCTAACGATAAAGCAAACAAGTTCCAGCTGCTTTTCATTCTTTCCATCTCCTTTTTCCCTCTGTACTCAAATTCAATCACTATCTTTTTAAAGCTTCATTTATCCTTGTTAACTTTTGGTTGGTGTTTTGGGGTCGTCCAGATCAGCAACCTCATTCGGCCTTTAATGATACGTTGAGAACCATTTGTTTCGTTTATCACGAAATTATTAGGTCGATTTTACAACAGTTAGCTCTATGAAATCTTACAAGGCTATATGGTGGCAGTCAATTTTGATGTTGACTAGGATAGCATGTGTTGTTGAAGGGCTCTTCATTATAAATTAGCCCTTTAATTTACTTTTATAAAATAAATTAAATGGTCTTTTTATTTTAAAAAACTAATCAATTAGTCCTTTTTTTCAATTAATTTTAATTTTTTAAAAAAATGAAAAAAGAAGTAAATAATATACAAATATTGATGAGAAAAGAAGACATTTGTTTTTGAAATAAAATTAATATTAAATTAAACTTGTTCAACATTGATTAAATGGTTAGTTAATTAATTTTTAAAATTCATTATAGTCAACACCCAACTCATAATTTGAACATTCAGTCAGTTGAATCTTATAACTATAACTATGCTATTATTTCCCGTTATTCAAAACTATTCTCCACCGATTTCCATAATCATTTTCATAGTATTGTGTAATTTCCAGATATACCAAAGCCACAAATTGCGCCATCAGTTGAAAGACACGAGAATAAAAGAAAATAAAATCATTGAATTATCGCGTGAATTCAGCTTTTGAAAATAAAATCCTATCTTTTACAGTTGTAAATCAAATAGTAATTATTAATTGAATAAAATTATACAAATATTAGATGGTGTACGTTTTAATAATTACAAAATTGTGCATAAAAATCTATGCAAATGAGAAAAACAAATACTAAACAAAATGGCCTCCTTGATAATTATATTAAATTGGAAAACAAACTGTCAGATGGAAATCCTTAATTGAGGATTGATACTATCATAATTATTTGGAAATATATTTAAAGTTTTCTTTTTTATATAATCACTACACGAACCATTTTTGTTTTATATATCCTGAACATGCTTTGGTTGTAATTCTTTTTCTTCATTGAATTTTTAATAGAGAATTGCAAATGCACAGCCTTGAAAAAAATTTTGTTGATACTCAAACGATCGAAATACCCACGTTGTACTTGTTCTATATATATTAGATTTGTTTCCCGTGATCCGCCACAGGCCGGGCAAAAAACAATTACCTATAAGAAGAAAATTTAAGAGATGAGTCGTTAGTTAAATTAATAATTTAAATAATATGATAAAAAATAAAATAATAATAAATAAATAAACAATGAAAAAAAAGTGCCTAAAAATAACCTAATTTTAGCTAATCTGGATTATTAAACAATTCAATAACAAAGGATAAAAAATAAAAAAATAAAAGGAAGGTGAAAATGAAAAACATATGTAATTTCATGACTTTTTCAAAATAAAAAAATAATAATTAAAAGGACATGGATGAAATGTGAAAGGGAAATAAATTGCAGGGACTGATTTGATTATTTGAAGGGGCCAACATAAAATTCAAGGTAACAAAAAAGAAAAACAAAAAAAAAATTATCGCTAACACCAATCTAAAGGCATGCATCTTCTAATTAAATTGAAAACATTAAAATCTTTTAAATATTATTCTAGAATGCGGTTTATGGTGACAAAAAAAACCCCCCACTCACTATGCGAGCAATGTAGAAGGCATCCACAAGCATGTATGTGCTATACACACATCCAATTTTTTTTAATTATATTTAATTAATATAAATTACAACAACTCCACTAAATACCCTTGAAATTTATAATAAAACTAATATAAAATGAACAAAACCCCTTAAGTGATAATAATATTATTTTTATCTTTAAGGACATCAAAATAATTATACTGATTAAAAAAATAAAAAGATAAAAAAAATCTCTTAATAACAGGTATTGTATTATTTTATTTTATGGTTAAATTAGTAATTTTATTGTAAAAAAATAAAATAATTAATTTAATCTTATATAATTTATAAAAATCAAATATGTCATGGAGAAAAAATCATTTTGTTTCCAATACCTGATTTAAAGATTTTTTTATTTAAGAGTAATTTTATAATTGCATAGTATTATGAATACTAACATTAACTTAACTTTTCGAGGATATTTAGTTTTTTTTTGTAATTTAATATGCGAACGTTTCCCACAAATTTCCATTACCGGGTTTTCATGTATTTAATTTTGAATCTGGCCTGTCTGCTGAGTTTTTTTTTTTTTTTGGTTGATAAATCAATAAATACGGCAATGGTGGACATATGTCTAAAATTCCTTTGAGTTCCAAGTAGAATGGGGTAACGTTGCGTAGAAGAGGCTTCTCTGTTGTATACTGCATGGCTGAAGCCTCTCGGCGAAGTTTAAAACGAATAAATAAAAGCAAATTTTACAATTTAACGTGGCCTGCAAAACTGATCGTTTTGTCCTTTCTGAAATGAACCAGTCCTGATAGAATATGTTTCCGAACATATTAACTTACGCAATTTGTTTTCCTTCGTTAAAAAATGTTCATAAGAATTTGCACTAATCTCATGAAATATAATTTTATGTATTGAATGATAATACAAACGCTACCCAGAAAGCAAGCATGTAGCTTTATTATAAAAGAAAGGAGGTCGGAGAAATTCCGACTTTTAGTTTATAGCATCAGGTGGGAATAGCTACTGCATTTCCCATCTTCAGTACATTTACATTGCAGGAGCCTTTGGATCTTGTATGACTGTCGTAATTCTCAATCCTACCAGATGAAACAAAACTAAGTTGATTAGTAAATAAGCACTGCAAAGGGGGGGGAAATGAACATATATGCCATGGTCTTGCTGGACTCTGTAGTGCACACAAACAGATGTTTCGAATTTTATCAGAACGTCGGTGCTTAAATTTCATGCAACTTTATGAAAGGATGATGCTGGACTAAATTGGCAGGTTTTGCCTCAGCAACCCCGTTAAATTAGACAGCTATGATCTGGTCAGTGTTAGCTATTATCTAAAGAGGGTATTGAGTTAACGAAATCTCAATTCTTCTGCTAGAAAAGTAAACAGGATTTACCCGTTGAATTATTGCGATGAACAGTCCCTGACAATAAATTGGATGAAACATTCCTGAAAAAACATCATTTGCAGATTTGTCAATAAAGGAAGGGAGACAATCATAAATAACTGGCTAAATTTTCATGGGAAACGTCCTAGTTGGAATTAACATGGAAGCATCTAAAACATACACCCATGTGAGTGTATGTGTGTGCATGTATAAAAGAATAGCAGGCTAGCCCGGATGATAGGCGCCGAACCCCTGCGTGCCCAAGAAATAAGTCCCTATAAAAGCTGTAAAATAGCAGAAATAAGTGAGTTGACTCACAGGATCCTCAATCTTCCTATAGTTATGAGGTTAATAACTGATGTTGGTATTGTTCCGGTTAGCTTGTTACCGTGCAGCCTCCTGGAATCAGAAAACATGTAACCGTATCTTGAAGAAACCACGATGCTAAATACTTCTCATATTTTTCTTCCAATCAAGATAATTCAAGAGGTTTTGGATATACACTTACATAAACAACAAAGATCCCAAGTTTCCCAGAGAAGCCGGAATTGGGCCAGACAGTTTATTAAGGTATAAATCCAAGCTGACTAGTTTTGTCAGATTACCCAATTCTGTAGGAATAGGTCCACTGATATTATTTCTAAATACCTCCCTGCAAGAAAATAAAATATTAATGTCAGGACACGCAATAGCACAGTTATGTACTTTGTCCATCTAGCTTGAAGAAAATGGAGCTTAGAATATCAAATGGTACATTAGTAGCTCTTCAAATAAAATGGCATGTGCTTCCCAAGGTGAGATATGAAAAGGCTTACAAATATTGAAGATTAGCCAAAAGTCCGAGCTCGGGGATAAGAGGTCCTGATAGTCCAGCATTACCAAGGTCTCTATAGTGATCAAAACCCAATTTTCAAGTCAACCTAAAAATGTATTTATTCTCAAAGTAGCTAGAAAGCAAAACCCAGACGAAGAGCATGCATCATATTTGATAAAGACTAAAGAGTAACGTACACCCTCGTTACGCTGTTATTTGAGTTACAGGTGACATGAAACCATGCACATGGGTTGGCTAGCGTTGGATCCCAGCTCTGCAGTACATTGTTTGGATCAAACAGCTGGGTTTTCCAAGAATTTAGAACATCCCCTGTTCACAAATAAGCATGTTAGTCATTTTAATTACTAGAAGAGTAAAGAGTAAAGACACATATTAACGAACTCAAATCAATATTTCTCGGCCATTAATTTATAACTTTCTCTGCAAAGATCGACAAAACTAAGGTGGTAAAGAAGAAATTTATGTGGAGATGGTGTAGGATATAGAGTGGGGTTTCCTTACCTTCCAGGTTACAATCCACGGTGGCAATAGCAACAGCAATTACGAGGCAAGCTAGAATTCTTGATGCCATAGTGGACTAAAAAAAAGGAAATAAAAGCAATTAGAGAGATGGCTTTTCTGTGTAGGCACCTAATCCATGTACTTATTTATAAGCATACGATACATGTACATCACGGGCACAGCCAACTACAGTACTGCTCACTAGTAACCACGGATACTAGCTAACATGTTGAACTCTAGAATTTACAACGCGTTTTTGTGTCTTTGATACAGACACGAAGAACTTTCAACAATCAACTCATCCAAACCAATTACATCACCCAGAAGAATACCGCAGCCACCAAGTAAAAGTCAAGTCGACAATATAAAAAGTGAGTCTTCTTAAGGACGTAATAGACTATATGTAATGGCTTGTTCCTGCTTTTACTTTGAATAGAGAATCAGTCAAGAGTCTTTGGATAGTTCCTGCTTGGCTTGCAGATACTGTTAGTTTCTAGAGAAGTAAAATCATCCCTTGTCAAAGCCAGACTACAGTCGGGATGTTTTAAGTATAATTATTTATCCATATGGGATGTTGATTGACTGTTATAGACTACATAATATATAGAATATCCATATTTGATGGTTACTAAATTCTCCTTCGTTTATCTTCGGCACCTTCAAATTACAAGTTTCTGACTTTGACAACCGGAGTGTCCCATGGGAATCAATCCATTTGACAATTTAAGGAAGCCTTTTCAACCTCCAAACAAATTCATTCTTGGTAGTTTCCATCAACTATCTTTGGCTACAATACCATATAACACAGATGCTGTATCCCGATCAGTAATCTCTTCCTGAAAAACCAATTTGTTTATATTCAGTCGGATTCTCCACAAGATACCAAAAGCCAACATGAGAATTGCATTGCGATGAGGATTTTCACTCAAACAACAGTTCATCTATGGTGTTCGGCATACACCACTGTAAATTCAATCATTTCAGAAAATGTTTCTAGTACAATTTCCAAACAAGGATTCTAAATTCAAATCTTTTTTTGTCTAGACAACTTTTTTTTTATCTCAACAAGTACAAAACTTTTTTTTATCTAGAAAACCTGGCGCATCACAGCGGGAGCTAGCGAGCCTAAACAGAGACAATAAAGTAAAACTTGAATTACATTGTTAGAAGTTAAAACTGCTTGGAAATGTTGTAAATGCGACGTTGTTGAGAGGTGCATGCTAAGCAGATCGGAAGAGCTACACGCCAAATTACATTATTTAAGGGGTATTTAGAAGTTAAATATTTTTTATTTAAAAATATATTAAAATAATTTTTTTATTTTTAAAAAATTATTTTTAATATCATCACATTAAAATAATTTAACAATAAAAAAATCAAAGAAAATAAAATAATAAAATTTAATTTTTAAAAAAAGTACTTTTAAAACTAAAAATACAAAAAGGATTTATTACGAGCTGTAGAGCCGCCGGTAAAACCAAGTCCTTGTATAATACCGTAATCATGCTACTTTGAAAGAGTCCAAACGATCTTTGTTGAAACTTGAAGGTAAATGACCTGTTCCACTTGAGGTTTGGAAATCAAGGCATGCATTGAACCGGTGCACCATAACTAGAATACGAGTAAGTCTTCATGTATATTAATTTTGTTCAAGTCCCAAAGAATGGCAGCAGTTAACAGGGATTTCGCGTATCCAGCTAGAATTTTTTAATCAATCTTTTGGAATACTGGCAAGAACAATATGGGAGCATGATGACCAGGTTACTTGCTACAAGTTGGCCTCCAAAATGAATCTGATTCCCCTTTTCCTTCTGAAAAGAAAATAGAGCGAGAGCTGAAAACACTTGGGCAAAGCATTGTAGATATATTTTTGTTTTCTTGTGGATTGTAATAATTAATTGATAGCTTTGCATTTTAAAAAAACTCTCAATAATCTATTTTTTTTAAGGGTAATATGATTTTTTTTGGTTCAATTGTCATTTTAAAATTGTTAAGAGATGTTCATGACTTTTTATTATTTTTTTTACAATAAAATAACTTTGTTATCTTTAAAAGCAAATAATTATTTAACTATGATTTAGTTTTTTTGGGCATTTTATATTATTTTTTTGTAATAGTATAATTATTTTATTATTCTTGGATTCAAATTTGAAAACGCTTGGCTTGAGAGGTGAATTTATAATTTCAAAATGTTTTTTTTTTTGTAATAATATTTGGGTAATGAGTGTAGAGTAGTGTTTAAAAAAATACAAACTTAAAACTTGTTAACGCGTGTATTCCATGCATTCAGACTACTTTGTCATCTTAAGATGGTGTGTGCAATTGACTATAATAGTAAAAAATATTATTTCATTATATAATTTGATTCATCTTAAGCTTTTTTTATTTTCTGTATGGTGTGTGTAGTCGTCAAATTTATGATGTATCACCAATATCTTTTCTTTTCTTTTTCTACCTAAAAACCAGTGTTTGTCCTCCATATTTTCATATCATCCCTTCAAGTTTTTTTTTTATTTTCTCTTTTATTTTTTTATTCCTATTTGTTTTATTTTAATTCATTTCTCAAATTTTATTTTATTTTCAGTTGCATCCTCTTGTAATTTTTTTGTATATCAAATTTGATTTTTATTTTTTTGATTTTATTTTTTAATTGGGATAGTTTTTTTATTTATTTTCTTTTTAAATCTCACCCTTTCATAGTTGATGCTCTTTTTTCTTTTTCTTTTTTTTTTCTTTTGGTTAGTTTTTAAATTTGAGATTTTTTTCAGTTTCTTCATTTAATATTAAATTGATTGACAATTAAAACTCTTAATTAAAGCAATGTTTTCAATTTTACAAGTTGCAAATTTAAAATATTAATCTAGATTTAAAACATTTATTTGGATCAATTAATTTGGGTTGAAATTATAAATTTATTAGTTTTTTCTACAATGGATTTCACACTTAACCTCCTTTAGTTAGTGTGGATTAGCTTATTGTGGTCTTTTTTGTTTTATTTTTTTTGCAATGTTAAGTTACTATAGTGCCTATAAATACAAAACAACACTTAACTTGAATTCAAAGTTTTAAAAAAACAAATTCACTTTTTAAGCTTGATTTCAAGGTCTTAATCTTCATCTTAGAGGTAATTTGATTTTCTTATTTAATATTGATAATAATTTAAAAAATATTTTTTTTAATTTAATCTATTAATGTTAAATTAATTAGGAAATTAAATGTTAAATTGATTGAAAAATAAATTTTATAAATTTTTTTGTTTGTTTAGATTTATTACAATCTCGAACAATTTGAAAATTATATTTTTTAGAATTAATACTTAAAATTACATTCATCTTGTTTTTATCATATAATTAAATAAAAACTATTTTTTAAAACATTATTAAACTTAACTATATTCATGAACCAAATTACATAATTACCAAAATCATTTAATATATCATCACCACAATACTTTTAATATATCATCATCTCAATACTTTTAAAATAAATTTATCTTGGTTTTTTTACAAGATGATTCATGCATTATTGGTTTTTATTACAAGATGATTCATTCATTATCCAGTTACCTAAGTTTCCTTTGAACCCATTAGATTAGCTTTAATTAATACTTATTACCTGTGTGGATTTAATAGCATTGCCAAAAGAAATTCACACTCTTAGTGTTCTTTTTTACATTAAAAAAAAAAAATCATCCAGCCCAGGGCAATGGACTAGTTAGAACATAAAACTCCTCATCTCTCAGGTACTCCAGATCTGTCTGCCATTACCACATCGATCACACGATGCCTCTTACCAACAGCTGTTGTCAGCCAGACAACCTCTAGTGCAATAATTTAAGACGAAACACCATCAACCGTAACCATATTAAGGGAATGCTGGCATGATCAAGAACAATGCACAGGAGCGCAAAAAAGATACTGAGAATTGTACATTCACTGTGAGACAAATTTAAAGAATATTTACAATGAGATCAAGGAAATCTAACTAGGCATGAATTCAACTGTCAGGAGCTTCAGTTGTCTTCACAAATCGACCTTTCACTCGCTTCCTAGTATCAGCTCTCGCCTTTCTTGATTCATAGCGTATGTGCTTATCATATCTATCAACACAATTTAATGGTTCAGAATGCATCACTTGATAAGCAAGCAGCGCAAAGGAAGGTATGCATACCTTCTGGTTTTTTTCTTCTCCTTGTATCGCTGCATGGCATCGCCTCGATTCCTGGCCAGCAGCTCCATGCCAACCTTGGTTGCTGCTTCCATTTTCAAGCCTTCACCTCTTATGAGAATAGACTGTTCCATGAACTGGACATCATTAGAACTACTTGAACATCCTGGTTTACTAAAACCCGATCGTACTATAGGAAGGTTGTTACTTTCAGATGTTGCTGGGCCCTGGCTGGATGATGGGTTGTTTAAGTTGTTCTGCATTTCAAAAATAAGCCAAATAAGAAAAGGCAAATAAGCCACTGACAATGCACATAGGTTGGGGATTGGCATAAATAGGCAATGGACGATATAGAACAAGCTCAATAACATCAAGGTCAAGGACCTTTCCAATCAAATGCCCAACAGTATAAATCAATTCATTTATATATCATATACGTGAATATACAGAAACGGACTGTATATTAAAAATTAATATTCATAGCACATAAGCTATGTGTTATTGTAATTATAATTTAAAAATTGGGTTTGAATGGTGTGGTGTTAGTTGGGTCACTTCAGCATAAAGAATCATAGAAGATACAAATTTTAACTAATTCTATCTACAATATTGGACAGTAAATTTAAAATGAATCCTTCTATCAGCCTACAAATGTTGTTACTACTCAAATCTAGATGTACTGAGATGCAGCACCCCAAATCAGATTTTTGAAGGTTATGCTATCTTTAGTGTAAATAATTAGTGCACCAGCACCTTCAAAGAAAATTTTGTAGCACCAACTGAAAAAACAAAAGGTTTGCAAAGAAATCCCTCCCCAAAGAGTTTACAGAGATTTCAGCCAAGATCCCCACAATTATAAATAGAACTTACATTAAATGACGTCATATCATCATGCGCAGTGGTACAATTCATCTGGTACATGTCTCCCAACATTTTTGGGCTAGTTGACGATGTTTCTTTCATTAGTTCACCAAAATCCTTGATCACAAATCCTGCATCATTTGCAACATATTCAATTTCTAACTGGCCAGATTCATCATGATTCCTCAGTTGCCCTAAATGAAAGTCCCATACCTGCAAAAGTAGCAATCCACTGTCATTATTGAAGACACATGATATCCTTTCTTCAGTGTTTTCACATGAAAAACTAATCGGTCATCTGAGCTGTGTGATAAAAATGATACGAGCAGGGATATGACCTAGAGGCAAACGTTTCCTAGAAAAGCAAGATGAAAATCCTCTACCAATTGAATTTTCCAAAAGCAAAATGCCGAATTCATGAAAACACTCTTAAATTTCAAACCTTCATGAAACCTTCAAGAAACTAGATGCAAAACGGGATACATGATCATGATAGATAAACAAATTCACCCCAAATTTTTTATTTAATAATTTAGGAAAATCCCGTGTCTCCCAATTACAAGCCACAATCAATATTGCTATTCTATTACTCGAAAGATGGGCAAACAATTCTCAGAGTGGCCACCATATTCACTTGTTTTGTTTGGCAATGTATACATTTAATCTACATTAACAAAAACAACAAGAAATGCTAACGAGACATCACATTTGGAAAATCTCGGTAATTCATATTTTTACCTGAGTGTCATGAGCTTTGGCATTGCTATCCCACGTTATATCCCCACCAACAACTCTCCCATTAGACTTGACATCCACCTCCGTCGGCAGCATAAGCAAAGAAGTAAACGGCCTTTGTTCCTGCAGCAATTGTTCACCTCTAACATTACCACCACTACCATTATCACCACAAACAATAGCATTATCATCCCCAAAACCCCCATCATTCCGGTTCCCAAATTGCACTCCCTTCACACCACTCCGCCATCCGCTTCTACTCTGCGTCACCAAAGTCTCTCCTCCACCATCACCACCGCCAAAACCACAACCCTCGCCATCACCAAAACCACAACCCTCGCTCTCAACACCATCACCCATCAAATCCCTCTTAAACAACTCAAACAACTGCTTATATATCACATGCTTATATTTCCCACAACTTGGGCTCTTGGTCACATTTCCAAAAACCATAACATTGTCAATATTCCTATTACCATTATTATTGTTTTCATTAGGCACCATCAAGTCTTGAAAAGTCAAATTACCACTGGATTTATCATAAACCCAAGGCTCATTTACCAAATCATGAATGGCCCCACAACTATTATTACTCCAATTTTCAATCAACGGCTCCGGTTTCTTCTCTTCCAAATCAAAACCCCAGATGGAAGCCAAATCAAGGGCGGAGGGACAACCAGAAAACCCTTCAACAGTAGTACGATCGTGTGAAGCAGACACGGAACAACTACCGTGAGCGTCCCAATCGCACTCTTGACAAAGTACCAAATTGTCAGTTGAGCAGCGGAAAGAAACCGGCTCCGAGCTGCAGTTGTCGCAGATCTGCGAGCGGACATGCTTTCGCGAGAGGAGGTTTGCGGAGTGGACATGTTGGTCGCAGAATAAACAAAGTTTAGCGGAGTCAGCTCGGCAGTAGAGAACTGCTGCTTGTTCACTGCAGAAATCACACGGTACTGTTTCTTTGGTTTTTGATTTGTGAGTAACCATCTTTGATGCGCTTGGGAAAGGCGAAGCCCTAAAGAGTAACGAGGAAGAGAGCGTGTCGTTCTGGGAGTGGAGGAGGAAGAAGATATTTTTTTCTTTTAGACATGAGATGAGACACGAGAGTGATAATGTTGTAATAACGATAAAATTTGAAAAGATTGGTTCCCTTTTCGAAAATATCTTCAAGATCTTTTTTCGCTGAGCTGGCATTTTAGGCTCTTTTTAGATTTTGTTTGAAACTTTTTTTATTTAAATTATTTTATATTTTAAAATTATTTTGATAAATTGATATTACAAATAAATTATAAAAAATAAAATAAATATTATTTTAATAATTTTTAAATAAAAAATAACCACTAAAATGAAAAGTATCTTCTTACAAGACTAATGCTTCTTTTTTTTCCGGTACTATAATTTAATGCTTTGGACCTACCACATTTTCTTCATTAAAGCGGTATGTTTAGGTAGTAAACTAGTAATTTAATTATTGCCTTCGCCTACGAAATTGCCCGATTTTATAGAAGTTCTGGGAAGCTGGGGGTTGGATTTTGAATTATTATCGATTTGAAGAGTCAATTCATGTACCAATCACTTGCCTTTGGGTTTTTAAAAACAAACTCTTAATATTTACTAGATTATAATGTCAATGAATAGCCGAGGATTGTATTTTTTTTACAGTTGTGTTCTACGTGTTATTCATTGATTAGAATTTTAAATATTTATGAATTATTTATTCAGTTTTGGATATTAATATAAGTATCTATTATCTAATTATTTTTTAGAATTCAATGCGAAGTATAAATATTTATTAAAATGATACAATTATAAAATCATAAATATTATATAGGTTATGAGTGAATTGTTATCTGTATACTTAGATATTAGCTTAAAAAAAATATTTAGATATTATTAACATGTTTTTAAATAAAAAATATAATTATAAATTTAAATTTTGATGTGTATTGAAAGATATTTTAAAAAAAAAATATTAAAACAATAACATATAGAATTAATCTAGATCAATATGTGTGATTCATGATCTAAGTCACGAGACTATATTAATCTTGTAAAAAATTAGAATAAACTACGAGGTTTGATGTCCATTCAACTTAATTTTAAAGTATAAAATAAAAAAATATTTAATTTTAGAAATGATAATAAAAAACACAAGTAAACTCAAGTTAATATGTTAAATTTATAATTTTGATCATGCAAAAGCAAAATGTTATCTATATACCAGGTACTAGCTTGATAGGAGGATCAAAACAATTTCTTTTGATGTAAAAAAAATATTTAGATATTGTTAATATGTTTTCTAGTAGAAAATAGAATTATGAATTCAAAATTTGATGGATATTGAAAAATAAATTAAAAAAATATTAAAACAATAATGTATAAGACTAACTCGGGTCAACCTCTGTAATTCATGATTCAGATCATGAGATCATAATAACTTTATAAAAAATAAATCACGAGATTCAATCCTCAATCAACATAATTTTAAAGAATAAAATTAAAAAAATATATATTTAATTTTAAAAATAACAAAAAAAAACATAAAAAAAATTCAAATTAACATGTCAAACCTGCAGTTGTGAGCACACACCTCACTAGATTTAATAAATTAACATTTTTTCTAGTAGAAAACATAATTATGAATTTAAAATTTAATGCATATTGAAAGATAATTTTTTTAAAAAAATATTGAAACAATAATATACGAAATTGACTTGGATCAACTTGTGTAATTCATGACCTAAGTTGTGAGACCATGATAATTTTATAAAAAATAAATTAAAATAAATTATGAAGTTCGATTTCCAATCAACCTAATTTTAAAGGATAAAGTTAAAAAAATAATTTTAAAAATGACAATAAAATATCCAAACAAACTAAAGTTAACATGTCAAACCTGCAATTCTGATCACACACCTCATTAGATTTAATAAATATTTTATAAAATTATTTTTTATTTAATTACACATCAACAAAAAAACAATTCTTATAAAATTAAACACTAATAAAATATTTTGGCGTTCACATGAGAATTGTGATAATCTAACAAAAAAAAAAACTAAAATATATTATGAAAAATAATTCAAAATCAATCTATTACTAATATTAAAAATAAAATATTTTTAAAATATATTATTTAAATATATTTCTAAATAAAAATATATATTTTTTTAAAATCTATAACAAACACACTGTAAACATTTCAAACTATGGACCTGCGAGCAATACTTGTCCAATGAAAACTTGACAGATGGCTTGGATGCTACTAAAGAAAGATGTTTGGCAAGACACACGGTCATTTAGCACTTTACTTTTTTGAACTTAAATATAATATAATCGACATTATTCTAAAAGACTACATGAATGATATAATCTAAGATTTTCCTAGTTAATATTTGAAAATGATTCAGAAGTCCAGGTTTTTTTAAGGTTCTTGCTTCTTTCTTTGATTCAAGCAATAATATTTGTCCTGATTAATGTTTTTTTTTTTCTATTTAGAGGCTGATTCCTAGATTGGTTATTTTCCTTATTTGTATTACAAATAAACTCTAGGTCTCGTAATAATATCAATAGAGGAGCTTCCTCATTGTATTTTATTTGGCTTGCCTCGACACAACAATTTCAATACAATTTTTCTCAAAGTTCTCGGCAATTTATTTTTTTCGCAATTTACTTTTCGCAATTTTATTGTTTTTAGCTCTCTGCCTTGTCATTATAAAAATATATTAAAAAAAATATTTATTTAAAAAAATTATTTTTCATATTTATATATTAAAAAAATATCAAAATATATTAATTAAAACTAAATAAAAAATAAAAACATCTAATTTTTTTAAAATGTTTTTGAAGCATAAAAATAGTCCAAGCCTTTGTTTACTAGCTTTCAGCTCATTTAATTGCGTTTTTTTTTTTTCATGTAATTAAATGATATTTTTTAGTATTTTGCGGGCCTTTCACTCGATACAAACTCTATACTTCAACTATAAATCTCTGTGATTTATTGCTCAACAGAGACTTCACTCTTTATTTGACGTAAACCTTAAGGTTTGCCAGTCAAATTTTATAACGTGGATTTACATGTCGATTGCTTGATGAAAACTTAATTTGTTTGGACTGTCTTTGTTTATTTATGATGGCATCGCTAACCTTACTTGTCTGGATTTGTTGTGCCTTGTTTTCTAAGAGAATTCGCAATTCATTTGATTACAAGATTTACAGTTGACGTCTCATCATGGGTTGAGCTCTAAATATTAAAATATATATATATATATTTACTAAAAAAATAGAGAAATAGTTGACGTCTCATCATGGGCTGAGCTCTAAATATTAAAAAATATATATATTTACTAAAAAAATAGAGAAATTTATATTGATAACACATGACTTGTGCTATAACTTTTAGATACGCTGTGTTTCTCCTAGCAATAATTATCGTGCAATGATCTTACACGGCAACATGAGAGGCCAAAATAAAAACTATATATCAAAGAAAAAAAAAATCCTTACAAAAATAGCTTTGGTTTCCTTGTTAATATATCCTAAACATGCTTGGAAAATCATTGTAGATGCATATTCATGGGGCAAATGATTTATTTTTTATTTGTAAAGTACAATAAAAAACGAAAATACTTTTTAAAGCAAAAATTTCAATATTATCTTTAAGGGGTAATTTAATACCTTCAAAATAGCTTCTTTTTTTTTTAATAATTATATATACATATAAAGAGTGAAATAATATGTCATTGAAAGTCAAAAGGTTAAAAACTGGCATTAAAGGCTTTTTTTTTCTTTTTACAATGATTACTTTTATTACTTTTATTATATCAGTTTAAAAATAATTTGATATTTTAATAAAAAAATTGTTAAAAAAAAATATCAAATGCGTATACATCACTCAAAAACCCGTGGAAAGCACATGTGCACATTAAATAGCACGTGCAGCCCTCTAAACATCCAGAAATATTCTTTTATTGTGTTATTAAAAGCATCATCATGTTCTCTTTCCTTTTCATGGAGTGAATCAAAATCTAAAGCACCCGAATATAATGTGGAAAGCGAAAGCATAATGTTAATGTTAAAGTCAAAACCACTCCGCTATAATCACGAACCACTTTTATCACCCACCGCAGTTAGAATTTTAATTTAATTTCAAACGTAATAAAAAAAACGTGTTAATTGTGTTCATGTATTTTAAAATTTCTTTATTTTTTAATTTATAAACATAAAAATACATTTTTTTTTGCAAATATGTTGTTTGTAAAATTTCAAGCCAATTTTAAACATAATATATTAATGTTTGGAATATTTTTTTTCATAAAAACAATTTATTTTTATTTTTATAAATACAATGTGCATATAAATTTTATTTATATCAAATATTAAAGAAAAAAATAATCTCTTTGAAATATTAAAAAATATAAATTATTAAAAAACAATTAATATTTAAAAAATATGAACTAGAAAAATAAAAAATCAAATAAATAGGGTATTAATTTAATTTTTTTTAAATTAATAAACCAGAAAACTAAAAAATAATTTTTCTTTTTAATTTATGCATTTTTTATCCTATAAGACTTGTTTTTATTTGCATAAATATATCATGAAAATATAACCGATTCATATAAAAATAAAAGTAAATGAGTTAAAAGATAAATTATAATAATTTTTTAAAATATTATAAAAATACAAAACTAAATTTAGTGGAACTCGTATATACAGGCGTAGGAATTTAGTGGCTGGACAGATTAATTTACGTTTCAAATTAAATAAGAGGGGGGGCCATTAGGGGAAGGGGACACGTCTATCTTTCCCTCCAAAATAGTTGCAGGAGATGGGGCGATTAATTATTATGAAAATGGTGATGATAAAAGTAAACTTCAGAGGTTGTCAATGGCGGCAATAATCATAATAGGACGGGGACCATCGAAGGAAATAAAAAGAAAACTCACGGGCGATTAATTTACGTTTCAAATTAAATAAGAGGGTGGACCAATAGGGGAGGGGGACACGACTATCCCTTTTTTTCTAAATTATAAAAAATTAGATCAGTTTATACACAATTTAATTGATTTTTAAAACTTTAAATTAATAAT